TTTGCTTTGTAGGTCTGTAGCATATCCAAAAAAAATTTAAATACATTTTCGACTATCTACTGTGAAAGCTTGAAGCTTTCCCTATAAAATCGTTTTTTAAAAATGTTTCTACGATTTTTTTGTTTTTGAATTATCGCAAGTTAAGTAAAAAGAATCATTCTGACTTTGATTGCTCATAAAAATCCCCCCATTAAAAATTATCGTATTGCAATTTAAAAAAATTCTTAAAACTAAAACGTTGCTCTATCTCTTTCATGTCAAATAGTCGAAAATTCCGCAACACATATAAAGTAACTGTCTTGTCTTTACTGTACCTGTCCCTATTAGTGTACTTTTTTTCGATAAGTCATAAAAAAAATTAGCAGGAATAAATAAGAAAAAATATTTTTTTTTGTTAAGTTAAATTATTAATGCATACGATATCAAAAATAATATTTTATTTTTTTAGTATTAAAGTATTTTAAATATTTTTCAAAAGATATAAGGAATTTATGTGAATCCAGTAATACGCAAGATTTTAAGTTTGTCCTTATTAATATGTCCTGTATTGGAGTTGAAAACGTTATGTTATAAATGTACATTGAAATAAATATAATTGAAATAATGATTTATGTAATATTAACTTAAGCAATTAGCTCAAAAAATTTATTACTTGTTTTAATAACTATATGTTAAAATGAGTCAAATATGGATAGACACACAAATTGGAGGTACATTAGATAGGACCATCGCCGCTTAAAAGACTCACTAATAGGAACAAAATTTTTTTTTTATTTTTGTCAAAAACATTATAAAGTATTAACATTTTTTAGAAATATTATAAGAAAAAGAAATAGTTGAAAAACTGATATTGATTGCAAGCAGATAAAATTAAAATCAATATTTAATTCAGTAATAAGCAAATTGGCTAAAAGGCACATTAATAGGGACAGTTATTCTATTCTGTATATAGTTTTGAATTAATAAAAATCTACAGAACTTTTCCAACCCTATATATAGTGAGAGCAAAAAGTACAAGGAAATTTTTTATAAAAAAGTCTTTTTTATAGAAAATAAACATTAATTAACAATTTTATACAATGAATACATTCTTCCATTAACAAATGAGCTTCGCATATATTCCTGATTTTAGGAGCTAAATTTCTCGACTATACGAATACTTTTTGAGCATCCAAATAATAGAATTTTTATTTTTCAGATGATATATTTTCTATAATTAATACACATCTTTTTGATATAATTTTAAGAAACATACATCTATTTTATTCTTTATAAATAAATTGTTAATCATTCAAGAAATGATTGTCAATTAAACGAATCGACGTCAAATTGATGTTGAAATCATTGTATCGCTATCGATTCTATATTAGTTCGATAACTTATTTCTCACTGGATAATATTTACTTTTTAAAAATAAAGTTTATTTAAAAAATTTTCTTGTACGAATTTTTCTTTGTACGAATACTTTTTGCACTCACTACACACACACACACACACACACACACACACACACACACACACACAC